TATGTAGCGCTCAGGGCCGGCGCGCGCGCCTCACTCGCGTGTACTTACACAGTTCAAACATTTCGTACTTTTGTTAAAATTATTTGTGTGTAGAAAGTTTTGTGTTAAATTTTTACACAGTCGTGTGTTAATTTAATATATCGTTGTTGTGTTACCTAGACTTTCTTGTGTTAAATTAAGATTATCTATTTTCAAGTGTTAAAATGACACTTCCAAATATTAAAATAACACAATTTATATAAATGAATTGTATACATCAGGTAAATGAATGAATTCTTGTTGTAACATATCTTATATGTTGAAGTCAACACCTAAAATGTGTTACTTTCCTCATTATAACAGTTATCTTGGGTTAAATGTATAATGTAATGTTAACATTTCTAGTATGTGAAGATTGGATTTTTTAGAACATATAGATTATGTCAATCTAACATTTTCATTTCATTAAATCATAGATCATTACTTTTCCCAAATGCTGAAGTAACATTCATTGTATGTCAATTTAACACAAACTGTTATTCTTGACGGCATTCAAATGTTAAATTTTTGTGTTAATTTTTTACATATTTTTATGTGTGTTATTTTTTAACATATTTGCTATATGTTAAATTAACACATAAATAAGAGTGGATGATTTGAGACACATGAAATATGTTGAATTTAACACATCATTTTTTACAGTGTAGTCAATGACAGGTATTCATAAGTAATGTCTTTTAAAACGCTCATACGGTTGTTGTGATTAGTTTACGACACCTTAAGACTTTATTTAAGACAATCTTAAATAATAAGAATCAACTATGAACAATACCGGGATTTGACCTTCGTCCGTATTGTATTGCTTAAATAATGAAAAGTTAATAAAATAAGTACTACTTTTATTTCTTATATATAAATGAATAAATATATTATTAATGAATATAATATTAATGAATATAAATGAATAAATTATATATAAATGTAATAAATGAATAAAAAATTGTCTGATTGCACAATATCATCTGAAAATAAAAACAAATGTAAATAGTAATATGCTTTGTGAGTTGTCTGTGAGTAATATGCCTTGTGAAATTCTGGTATTGTTTATAGTTGACTCTTATTATTTAAGATTGTCTTAAGTACAGTCTTAAGATGTAAACTAATTACAAAAGAGCCATATGAGTGTCTTAAAAGACATTACTTATGAATACTAGTCACTAACTAGGTACACGCGAGTGAGGCGCGCATCGGCCCTGAGCGCTACATAGACAAGAACACTTATTCGTTAACTTTAACACGCTTTTCTGCAAAAACTATTTGTCGGACGCAATTTTGCTAAAGGAAAAAGTTGTTTGTTTTAGCATAAAGTATCATGTCTTGTACTCTGAATGCGGGAATTTCGAGTCACCCAGTATATATACACGTATATTCTATGTAAATATCAAGATGTCATATCAAGATTTTATGAATTAAAAGTGAGTTGTATAAATTAAAATAATTGGTCTGTAAAATCACTTTCTTAGAAAATTTTTAAAATTTTAATTACATATTAGCGGAAATGTGCTGCTTGCACATCTGTATATTCGGCTCCAATATAGTTTAAACTTTTTTTTTTCCTTTTTGAAGTTTGTTTTTTAAATTAAAAGAAAATTAATATTATCATTGGATATCGGCTGCATTTCAATCCAAATTCCAATACCGAGAAAAAAGTGTTCATACTCTCTCTTTCTATATTGACATCAAATGTATAGTTTGAAAAAAATTAATCATTAGGAAGCTGAGATATTTACAATTAAATAGGTTTAAAAACCGACAGTTTCAAATCGTTCTTCTGCCTGATTTTCAGAATCATGAAGAAGTGGACTGAAATGTTCATGAAACGTCGGAAATAAATTCAAAGTGGACACGACAACAATCTGGAAATCCAATGAACTATTGCAACAAAATTTGACATTTTTTATATATATATTTTGAGGTTAATATCATATTTCCAATTTCAATTTTCAATTTTTCTAAATATTTTGAATCAAATTTAAGATTATAATAAAAAAGTATTATGATATTTAAATTTAATATATTATATATATACGCACATTAAACAAAAATTTCTAAACTACCCTTACAAAAATATTTTACTGTTTTTTAGCCCTCAAAAATCGGTTTTGATTTTAAATTTGAGTTGTAAAAAGTGTGCATTCAACTCAGCGAGTATGACACTGTTTTTAGGTCGGAAAGAGGCACTTTTATTTAAACAATGAGTAGTGAAAATGGATTGTCGAGTAGTAGAGTAAAAACAAGTAGTAGAAACATACCATAAAGTATATTTTTAAGCAGATTGCCCGTCTTTAACACTCTTTTCTCAGCTGCGTGTAAACAGCACGTTAATACGTATATTTTTACTCCATTTATTTCAATTGAGTAAAAGAGGTCTGAGGAGAGGAGAGGAAAAGAGGAGAGAGAGAGTCTTGAGTAAAAGAGGTATGTATTAATGTGCAGTCACTCATCAGCTGAAAAAAGAGTGTTAAAGACGGACAATCTGCTTAGAAATATTCATGCATACTCGCGCATACTTACGTATACTCATCATAATTTTTCTCCCTATATGCTGCGCGGGCTTGAGAGTGTAAGAAACTGACATAAAAATGAAGAAACAGGTAAAAAACGGATTAAAAACGGGCCAAAAACAGGCAATATGAGGATAAAAACGGTGAAATATTTTTATAAAGCTATCGATTTTCTTCTAAAAATCTAAAAAGTGAAGAGAAATTAATAATTTATAATATATATTATACTCGAGATACATGTGCATGTAAATACAATTTACATGTAAATATCTTTTTTTATTGTCTATATATTTTTATTAGATTAACTAATACATAAGACACTAATAAGTAAAATAAAAAATAACTAATATTTTCATATTTATTTAATTTCATATTTATATAATATACATACAATATTAATATATAATTTTGCATGTTAAATATATATAATATATATAATAATATTATATTATATATTGTGAAAAAAATTCTTTTATAAATTATTTTCACTACCTGAGTAATAAATATTAATTTAAATCAAAGTTGAGATAAATATGTATATATGTAATATTACATATTAATATATATGCAATATATTTGTTACATATACTTATGTATCTCAATTTTGCTTTAAATTAATATTTATTACATAATTAGTGAAATTAATTTGTAAAAATAACCTTTTCTTCTATAAAAATAGATTTATGAAGAATGCCTTTAATGTTGCTGTTAATGAAAAGTCGATCCTATATACAGCGATGATTTTAAATAGCATCTATGAACATGTCGCGATATTTAAATTATTACAAATTCGATCTTACGTAATTTGAATTTATCGGCTAAGTCAACGAGCGTTTAAGTATTTAGTGCTGCAAAACTAACAATTCTCTCAATAGACTGCAATAAGTAAGAAAAGTAAGATAGCAGAGAAAAAATAAGATAACACAGAAAAAATATTGTATACTGCTAGTTTGACGCTAGATAACACTTAGCTATTTATACTTTTCAATATATTTGGTAAGCGACCTAATATATCAAAGTTGGAGAAAATGGTGATTTCTTAAGATAAATGTGTTAGAAAAGCATAAACTGTTATAAACCGTGTCGTTCGGCTGTCAGTCTTGTAACAGTTGCAAAGCTGCTTTTTTCTATTGAACACAATCATTGTTTGCGTTCTGCAGAAATGAACTCTTAGTGATTATTGTCTGCAATTAGAACGCAGTAAGCAAATTGACCGCAAATTGCGTGCAAATTTGATAAAAAAACTATACCAAAACCATAGCAATCTGTGTTCGCATTCAGCTTGTGTTTTGACGTCAAGATCTGCTGCCAGGTAATTTGTAACAAATTTGTAACAAAAACGGCGTAAACCTTATTGCATATAACTTAGCTACAAGTGTTATGCATATCAAAGTTTACGCGATTTTTGCTCCAAATTTGCTGCAAGTTGCCCGGCAGCAAGCTCTGTCGCATATTTGGCGGTATCGACAGAATTTGATAACACAGATCCTGCATCAAATTTGTTACGTATCTGCCATAAAAAATTGATAGCAAACTTTGCTCGAAATTTGCTCGCGCAGATTTGACTATTTGAAAATATGCTATCAGATACTTAATAATATACTTATCGCTAGAAGAATGTATTACTCAGCGGTAATAATTACCAAGTGCTCAGTTGTGCCGAACGCAGCGAATGAATCGCTTCTCAACGCGAGTCCGGGACTCAACCTTGCAAGTGAAAGAACCGCGCATTCGATCAGACGGTCGTGCTCGCAATTCAGAACGTCTATTTTTGCTCGATGGGTAACGGCAACGTTTAGCGCAAAAGGAAACCTCTCGGCCAAGCACCTTGGCACTTTGCACACGGTAAGGGATGCGTCGTATGCCATGTCATCCCCGGCGCTCGTATTACCAATGCACAGTACTCTATCGACCTACACATCGGTATTGCAGTTTATATTGTTTTTCCGGCAATGTTGTCCTGTTATCCTCGTGCGGAAATGTTGCAATCGATGTTGGTGCATCAACAATATTATCTGTGGTTAGATGATCGAAAATTGCAATTTTTAATTCGATGAGTTTCGCAACACACCCCAATAGGAAAATGTATCTCCTCGGAATCACCAAAAGACAAATTCTCTTTGAATATAGGATGCATTGCAAAAATCAGGAAAAGTAACGCAACTTTTAATTATCCAATCATATTGTATCATATTGTATCATGACGATAAGACCAACAGAAAGGAGAGAGAAAAAAAAGAAAGAAAGCCAAGATATCCTCCGTATTTATTACAGTCAAAGATAGAAGTGTTAATAGATCTTTTACTGTTACACGTAAATGGTGAGTTTCTTTGAAGTAACTCATTGAGGTATTTGATAACAATATATGAAAAATTTTTGTTTATTATCGATGTTGCGTATATATAACGACAATAGACGCATTCAGTACTACAATATCTCATTAAACGTTCCGCGACTTTGAATATATAACTTGAATATAATATAAATTATATTTTTAGATCTTTGTCAGATATGAAAAAATACACCCAATCACAGGTGTCCAATACATTACTATAAGTATTCAGTGAATTTTTGGAACTGCTTCATATGTACTTTCGAATTTCATGAAGATCTAAGGGTACAGACCAATAAGATCTAAAGGCTGACTGAGCACTTAGCAAGCGGTAGCAGTGCTAGATGCGCTCAATGTCACAGGCAGCGGCGCTCGATGACGCGCGGGTAGTCGGTGACGTCAGAGGGAAACACCCTTGCAACCGAGGGCCAGTGAACTCATTGCGCCAGGGAGAGCGAGGTCACAGAAGGTAGTGGAGGTGCGAAACTAGGGCAGAAGGGGCAGAAGACAGTGTAAGAATAACCAGCTAAGGCGCGTACTGTCGAGTGTACGTATAGAAGTACGTATTATATAGTTAAGGAGTCGAGTTTTAACGATCGACGCTTAATTGTTCTCCTCGATGTGCAACTTACATATTCGACGAGCGTTTACTGGAGTTCAACGGGTAGACGTTCTCAAAAAATTGTAGCGTGATGCGGCGAGAGCCCGTAAGGGACCGATAATACGTCTCGGATCGAGAATGTACATTTAGCACCGGCTACTTTCTCGACGGCGGTGGCGCGATATCAAATTATCGACCTTTACGTATAAATAGAACATGCCCGTAAATATCTGAAAGGTCAATGTTGGCCGCGTTCTTGACTGTCGAGAGAAAATTCCGGTGCCTATAGTGCCTATAGTGAAAAAAGCAATTGCGAAAAGTTAATAGATATTAAAGAAAAGCCTAACTATGAAAGTAACCATGCTCGTGGTTTAATTGTTATCTGATTTTGAACTGATTCTAGGTGCACAAAATGGACACTTTGAACTACGTAGCCAATTTTCTCAGTAAAAAATGTCGCAATATCTACAATTTTGATTTTGTTTCGTATTATGTACACTAATGTATAGTAAAAACTAGTTAGACAAGGACGGACGATCAATTTCTGTCCTTGTCTCACCACAGGAGAGCAGACACGAGGCGCGCTAATTGCAATCTTATCGCTAAGAAAACGACCTCCCTTGTACACTATATTATTTATGCCTTGCATTAGCTGCGATTTGAGAAAATTCTTTCAAAGCTTTTGGTTTCTGGCAATGATGTAGCAACAATGAAGGCTAGTGTAAGTCTACTTTTTATAAATAATATGCTCGCTTATGACATATGTGCTTATTACACATGAGCGTATATACAAATAAAAACTATGCGCAAATAATAACTATGTATGTTTCTATTTAGTATCATATACCGATAAATAATAATTATAAAAGACAATTTGTAAGATAATGACACATGTCATTGGTAAAGTACGGGCACCTGATAGACTTGTTATTTTTTTATTCTCTTATAAGGAAATCCACAATGTAAATATAATATATAAGGAAATTTTTCATGGTAGATTTTCGTAGATTATATAGATATTTGATTTCATTAAAATTCGTTTCTGAATATTTTTCGTGAGTCATTGAACAAAGTTGTGGATTGTTTAGAATTTGCGGAAGAGAAATTCGATAAATTTTCTTACTAAGGCACTATATAAATATAAGTATTGTAATAATCGGTATTACTAATTTCTAAGCATGGATCACGTAATTCGAGCGAAATTTATCACTTTTCATTTTTCGCTCATTCTGATTTCGTATGAATTTTTTCATTTGGAGAGCAATTATGTAACTGACTGTACGGAAAGCGAAACCACTAAATATGATTTATTATATGATTATATGATTATATCTTGAATGTATCATTCATTTTCATTTTTAAAAGAGGTTACATATAACCATAAATATTAGTTCTACTTTGTGAATATTAATATATATATATATATATATTATATACACATATCAAGACTGAGAAATATTTAAATTTTTACTGAATTTCCATCCCTTTTCTCATCAATTTTTAAGGTGAAAAAGTTTACGTGGTAAGTTTCACATTTCTACAATATGAAAATTTACAAGATGACTAAAATTCACGTAAAACAGTTCACTTTTCATTTTTTTGCTTCCTCAATAATCAGGTAGACTAATATTCTATTAATTTAAGTTCAAAAATTATGAGTTTCTTTTGCTTATTCTTTGAATATATTATTCATTTAATACATTTTATTCATGTGATTAATACTGATATGTTATAACGTATAATCTAACTTCATATTATATTATATTATTCATATTATATTATAAAAAATTCAAATGAGCGTACATGTGTGTCATATATTTAATAGTATGCGTGAACAGTTGCAACGATGCAACACATTTTTGAAACGTCACACTTTTGCAACTGTCTGTATAAAGTTTTGAACATTAATAGTGTGAACAATTTCTATGCTTATCTAAAGCGATGGCATTGAGAGGTCAGTTAAATTTTTAATTAATAATTATGAGCTATTGATTATCATTTATTAATTATAAATTTATTAAGCTATGCAGAAAAGAAAATGATTGTTTAATAGGTCTTCCATATAGCATAAGAATTTTTAAAAGCTCCATCGTTTTAGATGAATATAGAAACTCACATTAGGTATAGAAACTGCTTACATTAGGCTCACATCGGTTTTTATTGCTGCATTATGTTGCACTGCCTTCATTAAGTAGGTACATGTTTGATTCTTAGTGGAAGAAAGAATAAAATAGGGAAATTCCAAGATAATTAAAAAATTACAGCTACAAAGAACAGATCTGTTATTACACGCTTGAACCTTCATACAGGTGACTTCGGCTTTTTGTGAGCCCAAATCCTGATACACAATAGTAATGAGACTTTAGTCTTTTGTTCCAAGCCCAAAACTGTGATTTAATTTTCTGCAGAAAGCATTTCCCGCTGACTTAAGAAAAAGCTTAAAGATTATGACTTAAAAATCATAATCTTTAAGCTTTAGGTAAGCTCGTCAGATTTTAGCTATTAAGGCAGCATAGAAAATTTTTCTATCAGAAATAATAGAACTTAATGCAAATGACTAAAGGCTTACTATATCTATCGTAGGCCTTAGATTCGATCTGCTAAGTAGAAAAGCCATGCATTTGTCGAACGACTGTCGTCTGTGATATAGTCTATCTCTTCTATTCGGCAAGTAATGGCGATATGTTACTGTGAAGGGAAAGGCATTCGAATTACCAATGGACAGTACTCTATCGACACACATCGGTACTGTAGTTTCGTCCAGACGTTGTTTTTCTGGCAACATTACTTCATTGTCCACACGTGGAAAGTGCAATCGATGTCGGCGATGTTATCTACCATCGAGGGAACGAGAGAGGAAGAACGAGAGGGCTGAAAGAGTGAGGGGGAAGGAGGGAAAAGGCATATACTCCGTATTTATAACGGTCAAAGAAGTGTTAATAGATCTTTCTTCGCGAAAGCACGTTAACAGTGAGGTCGTCCCTTTGAAGTAACGCATCGGAGCGAGTTATTTGACGTCATTATTTAAAAGATATTTTCTTTTATTATCGACGTTCTCGCTTATTATGTATAACGACAATGTCACAGGCAGCGGCGCTCGATGACGCGCGGGTGGTCGATGACGTCAGAGGGAAACACACTTGCAACCGTAGGGCCAGTGAACTCGTTGCGCCAGGGAGAGCGAGGTCACGGAAGGTGGTGGCGGAAAGAGGGATGAGGCACGAAACCAGGGCAAAAGGGGTAGAAGACAGTGTAAGAATACCGGCTAACGCATGAACCATCGGGTGTACGTAGGTAAGTACGCTGTGTAATATGCTTAAGGACTCGAGTTTTAACGATCGACGTAAACTCTTAATGCTTAAATGTTCCTCTCGATAAGCACCTTGCATATTTGACGAGCGCGCGCTGGAGACGACGCGTAAGCGTCTTCGAAAAAATTGAGACGTGGTGTGGTAAGGGATCGCAAGGGACCGATGATACGTCTCCTGTCCCGGATCGAGAATATACGTTCAACAGCGACTATTTCCCCAACGGCAGTGGCAAGATATCAAATTATCGACTTTTATGTATAAATAGAACATACCCGTAAATACTCAAAAGGTCAATGTTAGCCACGTTGTAGACTTCCAAGCGAAAATTAGCATCAAATGTTGCGAAAGATGCAATTTGTGGGAAATTAAGTCAAGAATGGAGAGAATAAACGCTTTCTCTCTCTGCGTGATATCCAATCAAAGTGAGGCAAATAATCGCTAAAAATAAAAGTAAGAAAGAAATAAACATTTATTTTATTTAATGGAGAATTAATAAATATATTAACTGAGAAAAATGTCTTTATATATAATGTGAATAGATAAGATTCGATTGAGACATAATTTTATAGGATATGTTGAATATTACGTAAATTATCTTCCCATAATTTGTAATATAATTTTAATCCTTTGATTAAACAATTAAAAATAAATTTTATAATTTGCAAGCAGTTTTGATCAATTACTTAACTTGTGATAAATTTTGTTTAATTGATTATTCAATTTTATGATTTGTAATAAATTTCCCGTTTTGTCTTTCCGTGGAAGTGATTTGTGCAAGCGCCATCAATCGTCGAATTGTCGAATCGCTTAAGCATAAATGTAATCGCAGAAGAAATGCGCTCATTCGCCCCGTCTCTTTGTCCGCGTTTGATACAGACCTTCGTTACGTTGCGCTCGTGGGGTCGTTCATCGGGGGTGGTTCTATAAATAGCGCGCCTTCCCGTATATAGGTATTCGGGTCAGTAAGAGAGATTACAAGGACGAACCAAGGGCGAGTTCAAGATTTGTTACAAAGTGCGATATTTTTCCAAAATACAGCCTTCCTCACATTAACCCCGTTTTTATCTCTCGTATAATTATTAATTTTTCCTTGCAAATGGACATAACACCGGCAAAGAGAAAAAAAGAAAATCTATTGCGAGTAACTTGATCATTTTATGTGTTATACAAGGAACAGTATGTGTGTAACGAGCACACACACTACAAATTTTCGATAGCGAATTTCTGTTGATTTGATCCTCGTGGACGAACGTCAGAATTGCGAGAAAATTCATCGTGACACATCTGTCATTTTTTTTTTTCATTATCATCTCATCAGATCATAACGCGAAACAACCCCACGTATTCACGCGAGTAAGACGTATCTCGAGCAGCAGGTACGACAAATTCTTAGAAGCAAGTTTGTTTTACAGCCGTTAACGACCTTGGGTCCATCCGACGCCGAATGTTTTTATAGCATTCTCTTGTTCTACTGGAAACACACACACAGGTACATACGTACATACATCCTTCGCATGTATCCTTGCGCTGCAAGGCGATGGGAGGTTTCAAGGAGGCTCCGTTCCAAGGAGGAGGTTCCGTTGAAGGTCCTGCAGGTTGACCCAGATTCTCCCATGTGCGCGTATCCCATTGACCCCGGGGATAGTTGCTAGGCAGCAGCGAGGGCGCACCATGGCTCATCACGGGTCCATTTCGGCGCGCGGTTGAACTTTCTCCTGTCGCTCTGGTTTACCGTTGACTTACCTCAAGCGCGACTCGCGATCGAATCGCGCGGGGGAGAGAGGCAAGTCTGGGAGTTCGAAGTTCATGCGAACGAACTCGAAAATTATCGCCCCGATATACGCTTTGTGAGTTCGTTATAGGTTCCCGAATGGTCGCAGCGAAAGATTCTCGGACACCGCGAAGTCTAACACTCGACACTTAGCTGCTGAGGATGACACGACGGCGATCAGCGCAGGAAGAATTCGATGCAGTCGAGCGAACCCGGTATGCGAACGCGAGCACTGTCTTCAAAGAGAAGCAAAAGTCGTCGGTTATCGTGGCAGTCCCGGAGGTTGCTTGCGTCGAGGATGCGTTCAATTTGCGATTCTCCCGTTGTCTGGCCTGCGACCATCATCCGTTCACTCTCTCGCCACTTTCCTTTGTGCGCTCCACTATTTTAGATGCGTGTAGTTGCCGAGGCACACGGTGGGGAGAAATTGTGAATGACGCAAGTCATGGAAAATCTGGGTCAGCAGGTCATGCTACCCCATCCCTCAGCGAACTTCTCATCAATGGGGCTTTATTTATGAAACCCGATGTCGCCCAGCCAAGGATGTATCTACCGATGTGCGGATAGGATGGGATATCACGTTGCGATTAAAGCACCTATCATGAATAGGATTTCGACTCGAGGTCCGCGCGGCCAATAAATAACCGTCTTCCTGAAGTCCCCGTTCCATGAAGAGCGCTTGGATCTTTCTCGGAGTGGAAAATACACTGATTTTCACCGCACGTGTGCGCGATTTAGCGATTTCATAGAGTCCCGTTAGTCGAATATTTCGGCCAGTTGTACACAGAAACACGTATTCTCGGAGTCCCTTTTTCTCAATGAAAATTTTATTTCGCTATTCCCGGAGTTTTATTTTTATTTTCAGAAGGAAAGGATTCTTCTCTAATTTTGTCGAGGAAAATAATAGCTGGAGAGTCATCCGAAGAAGCGCGAGTCGACCAATTTTTCTGCGAGTATCACAAAAGAATTTAATACGTGGACTTTGTGCCGCGGTCGCTTTTAAACCGTAGGTACGTGAATATTCGTTAATCAATAACGGCTTGCACCGCTATATATATACTGAGCTTTATAGAAGAAATTACCTCATTTGACAATGTCAACGATTTATCGATTTGTCCGCTTTTGCCCGAAGGTCACGGAAACTCGGTCAGATTAAAGTATAACTCTCTACCTACTCGCTCGTATCGACTCGAAACTTTCTCAAGATTGAACTCTACTTTTATTCATTAATCATGTTCGCAGACGTAAGTCACGTATGATCGATTAAGTTGGCCGAGTAATAACACGACAACGGGATTAGATCGATAAGTTCAGCAAATTGTACTCGGAAATGCGTCAGGCAAAAGAAACGAGCCTGGTGATCGAATTTTTGCAAATGGTGGATACTAGTTTCCGCGTATAAGACAAATGTGCATAAAATTTCGCATTCGGTAGATTCGTAACGTATTTTAAATTATATTTTTATTTCAATACGCGCGTGCGCGCGCGCGCACGGTAGAAAGCTCCGATGTGCGGGTATACCGTTCTTGTGCCCCTCGAGAGACTTAAGAAGACGAACTATGCCACTTCGCCGCCTAACTGCGGACGTATCGATATAAGTGCACATTGCAAAGAACATAAAGTGAGACTTATTTGGAAAAGATTCTGAATCTCACGAAACCAGATGAAATGAAGAACAAGGAAGAAGTGAAGAAATATGGAGACAGCAAAACAGTATGTGCGCGCGCGCGTGCATGTATGTGCATATGCGTATGTGCGCATGTATATGTGAATGTGTGTAGTTTGATGTGTGATGTATGCCCGACTCGAATGAAAAGAAGCTGTGATAAACGGGTCTTTATCGCGTGTTAGCGGGAAAGGAGGTGAAATCTCTCGGTTGCCCCGAAGAATCAGAGAGACGGAGAAGAAGGTGAAAGACGCACAACCTCTCGGATCGGACAGCCGTGGGAAACTGTGGCTTTGAACTGCCATGCACCATTTCTCGATACCTATTGCGCCCCTCCGCGTGCGATGCACGACCGAGGAGGAAGGGAGTGGGGTTTCCGCGATCGAGGCAGCAGGGAGTCCAGGGGGTTGCATACGGGCGCATGTAGAGACTCACCCCCGTGACGTCAGCCAGCTTTCGGCCAATCGCACGTCCGCATTCCATCGACGTCATCACCTCCCCCGTTGTGACGTGCATTCCAAGGAGAAAGAGGGAGCAAGGGTTTGGTAACAGGGTTGTCGTGCTGAACGCGGTGGAGAAGGGTGAGGCTGACGGCGGCGGCGGCGGAAGGTGCAGGATGACAAGGATGAGGGGTACGCCATATTTTGACCCAATTAACTGGACTAAACGACCGCCGTGAAAATTTGCCCGTTTCTTCGGACATTCGCGATAACGTGTCCCTATTAGCCGTGTTATCGATGAAGCAGGAGTAAAGATCGCCGATCTTGCGGAATTTAGCACATACGAAAAATTTCGCTGTTTAATGACTTCTTGTGTTAAGTTTTGTGCCAGGGCAGATCATAACTGCAGATTAAAATGCAGTTTGGAAATTATCCGATATACTTCGTTGTAGGTCAATACATAAAATATATCAAGATAATATTATTCAACGTAACACTGATATTTTATTATACACAGGATGACTTACTTTAAATGCTCATGAAAGATATTTCGGAAGAAATGGATTTTGTTCGAAAAAATGTTTCCGACATGAATTGTAAGATTTCGAGGGGGTTGTCGGCTAATGATGTTGAATACGCCATTGAAAATTTGTTTAAAATTACTCGAAGATCAACTTTAGATTCAATGCCGATGGTTATGTTCTTGGATTATGGTTTTCATTATAGATCGACACATATCGATATAGCTTCGGAGAAATCTCCGTTTTTCTGGTTATGTAAGCAACTTCTTCTCACTGTTGCATACAATGCATGGGAAGATAGATAATTGAAATGGTAAGTAACAAGCGAAATAAGATTATCACGTAATCAACGTATGAAAAATTCGTAACGTATAAAAGCGCGCGATACATTTGGTATTTTTCGACAAGTTGATAGGAAATTTCTTCTAAGTGCCGCCAAAAATAGCGGAAAGAAGTTTTAAAAAGTAACTTTGTCTCTCGAGCGTGTCGCTATTTTTATAATTCGCGGCTTTCTTAAGCCACGTGGAATTTACGTCGTGCGCGTTGAAAGCGTTCACACGTAACCTCGCTCGATCGTATATACTGGCTGAAAAGTAGGGCAATGATAGTGATGATGAGAGACGACATGTCACATTACGGTGAATTTTTTGCACGAATTGTTGCCGCGATGAGACACTGCTATGAAAGATGTTTGAGCAATTGCGTAGAGAAAGAGAAAGGAGGGTGGGAGCAGAAAGAAACAAACTATAATTTCTTTTCGACAATAAAAACTCAACGAATTCAACAATTCCCTTGAGGGATCAAATTTGACGAAGCACGAAGATCACATCTTATCGTAATTTCTTCGCAAAACGATACGCCTTGTGGAGAATCAGGAAGCTGTTCGAGAATAAACTTGGACAATGATTAATTGCTCATTTAATCATTTATTAATAGGAAACACTCCTTAAAAATTAATATAAAATACAACTTGTAAGAGAAGAAAGAAAATTTTGTATGGTTAACGGCAAGATTCATCTAGATATACAATTACAAAAAATTTCTAGAGCCAATAACAGTTGTGCAAAATAATAGTTGCAAAGAATTATTTCTATAATTAGAAGATAATATGGACATAATATTGGAAGATAATATGGACATAATATTGCATGTACCGAGAAGTTTTGATTTTCTAAACGTGCGCGAGTTATTAATTATAAACTTCATTACTTTCCAACGATTTTATATCTTGATTTTATTTCTTAAATCATATTAATTCTACTTTTTCTCTAAATTATAAAAATCTATCTGACGTTTATATATAAAGTGAAAAACATTGCCTCGGCTAGAAGAAAGCCAGATAGTAAACATATTTATTTATATATTTATTTATTTATTTATATTTGTGTAATTGTATATATTAAAAAATAAGTAAAATATTGCTAATATGTACTTCGTTTACGCGCCAATTGCTAATATATAATATATATATAATATATATGTAATATATATAATATATAATTTGTTTACGAGATTTTTGTTATATATAATAAACATTAGACTAGTAAATTGGATTGTGAGCAGTTTGGAATAAATTCGAACTTTGAAGGTTGAAAAAATAAATGAACTCTATTAAATATTTATTAACGCTCTTGTTCATTCTAAGTTTATCGATAAACATTCCAAGTTTATCGATTAGTTAGTCAGCGTTTAAAATTCGTATTAATCACCGAAATCTCTGGAACTAGTTATGTGGTTTTTTTGTAACAATAAGTTAAAGGTATTGTTTATGCAATTACTTCTGGAAATATGGACAAAACTTATACTCTAAAATTATTATGGCTGTTGAAAGTATATAATGCAACAGACAAATTGTAGTCAATAATGAAAAATATTTTTAATCTTCTTTATATGTCCTATAGTTTGACGCACGACTCATCTCTGTACACTGATAGCTTAAATCAATGTATAAAGTGTGCAAAGTTCTTTGAAATGTTTATCTTAGAATAAACAGGAGCATTAATAAATATATAATAAAATAGTTTATTTATTTTTTCATTCGTCGACATTCGAATTCATTTTAAAGTGCTTACAATCTTATTTATTATTTTAGTACTTATATAGCGACAATTTCGTAAAATTGGATATTAGCAAACATTTTTTATTCGATACAATTTTAATTTCTTTTATTTCCTATTACATAAGTACGTCATATAAAATCCATGTATTCACTTAAAAATGAAGGTAATATTCAAAACCTAGAAAGATCATAGGTAAGAAAAGATATTTTAATTGTACTTTAGTGCGGTCTAAAAACCATGCAAATTTCTTTTATTGATATTCTCTATAACTGCAAAAAATTGCCAAATTATTGGCCGAGACATTTATAATCAAACAGCATGTGTATGCATGACATACATATACATATATACACACACATATGCTCAGAGATTAATTAATAAAATCTTTTTAATTCTTTCAATAAGTATAATATATTATACTTATATGAATATATTACGATATTATATATATATATACAATATATATATATATATATAACACATATATAAACTGAAGAAATGGTTATAAATAACGATAAATATATCAAGGTGCAGGGGAGCGACAGACTAAATAAAAAATATATAATTTAAGTATATATTTACATTCCTGAGAAATTGCAATCTAATATTTATACCCTGATAATCGTGTAGGTACGTAAACGAAACTTTATGAAAGTGTAACGTTTAGAAGTTATGAATAATGGAGTGAAGAGAAGAAGAAATAGAATATTTCTATTTGGTGAGTGTATAGTATTTTGAGCAGGCAAGTGGCAGGTCGTCGCACTTTCGCTCTTCGTGAAAGCAACGGCTACACGGTGATTTTCAGAAACGTGGGCGTCTCGTCTGCTAAGAATTCTGCGTGGGCGTCTGTTTGGGTCTCGCTCGAGCCGTGCTGTTCCCTCGCATCAATGCCACGAAGATGTTTCACATATTTCCACAATTTCAAACGATCGCGAAAGGTAATTTTCACAACGAGAATTATAATAATTTATAATAAAGATATCTTAGTGAAAATAATTAAAAAAAATTTTTTTAATTCGGTCTAGAACCTTCAGAGATTAATTTATGAATCATTTATCATGTCAAAATATTGTCACATATAAAAAAAGTAAGTAAAAGTACACAAGCTATGTAAATGTATTCATTACTTTCAATATCAGAATATCCGATAAA